AGGACACATATATGGTGTTTAGGGCCTTGATTCTATAAATACTTCTGCACAAGAACAATTTTATATATACAAATGGCAGCCTCTTCTTAAAATGAGATGTTCACTTGTATGAGGTTTCTCATTTGGGTCTTTGATATTGTAACTAAAACTGCATTGGGACCTGGAGGAATTACATGTATTTAACAATTATTCATGTATTTAACAATTATTCAGCATGCTATCTTTTTTCCTTCAAAAAATTATTCATTCACATCACGATCTGTGAAGAATTCTTTGAAATACATGTTTTGTTGAACTCACGTCTGCTTCTTGATTCTTCCCTCACCATCTGCTCTATTTCCTGCTATTCATTTTCACTATGGGATTGGCCATCCAATTATTTTTATTTTTTCTATTTAGTTGAATGATTAGACTTCTAAATCGAGAAAAAAATGAGATATTTCAAGGTGGGTTTGTACTGTTTCTAGATGGAATGCAGGGACATGCATGTTTGGAAGGCACAACCTAAAAACTAATAATAATTTTATTTAAAGAATTTTTTTTTCCAGAAAATTAATTTGAAGACATCACACAATTGCTTCTCTCTTTAGGGTTTAGTTTTAATTTTTTAAAATGTATTTCCCAAAAATACTAATAAATCAAAGCTCTGTTCACTACATGAAGGTTTCTGAAAATGGCTCTAGTTCAGAGAACATTTTCTTAAATAACAGCTTGAATGCACACATATGAACTAAAAAATTTCTTTGGCTTGAGTATTTGTGCACATTCATCCTTTGCTCTTTTGTTTCACTTTATTTATTTCAAAAACTGCCTCACTTTATAAGGATACATTCAGCTCTGTGAACAAATTGTGGTCTCCAGAGAAAGGGCAGAAAAGGGAAAAGGCTTCTCCCTTCCTTTCCTAGACACTGTGAGCCCCAAAACACTCACACTGACCTCTTGTCATATGAGTTGTATGGCCGAAGTTCAGTTGCTTGGAGAAACACAGTGGTGAATTGTAAAGATCCACGAAAATAGGCAAGTGCAAAGGGATAAAAATATGATAGAAAAATATTTTCCAGTTAATGTCTATGGAAATGTAGGCAATGATCCTTCAACCAAGGGACAGGAGGAAGGTTGTGTGATTCCATTGCATCTAGTAACACGAGCTCACTGGATAAATTGAAGTGACTGGTGTGTTTGAGGCAAGGAATGAAGTAGTTGTAGTGAATTACCTGTTTATCATTGCTTAAGATGTTCATAAAAATGATAATATTTTAAACTCTTAGCGGATTCCTAGTGGCACTACAAACAGCCCTCACTGCATTCTGGGATCTTTGCTGAAGGATCTCACAAAGAATCCTTTGCTGAAAAGGCAGGGGAGAAAAATGGTCTATAGAGAATTCTGTCTCATTTGCTTCAACTATTCTGCCTGCAATTCCCCATCTCTGGAAGACAAAGGAGGAGGAATCTTCTCCCCATGCTAGTGTGAATTTAGCTTGTGTCTTTGTGTCTCCATGGAGACAATGTAAACACATCTGTTTTCTCTTTGTGCTTGAGATGGAAGCATTCTACACAGCATTCATCATTGCAGGGAATGAAAACATTATCTCGGGGCAGAATCGGGGGGAATTCCTCACCACGGGGAAAAAGGAAACCTGGTTTAGTTCGTTTCCATCCATGATCGGTGTCATCAGAGGAAAAGAGTTTAAAGTCATATCTTAAAGCTCAGGGTCTGTGTCTCTTGACAATTGAATTTAAGGGTTAATAAAATGATGGGTATTAATCTCATGTTACAAAGGGAGAAAAAGAAATATAAATGCAGGATATTCATGGCCATCAGGTGAAATGCAGCATTCCATAATTCTGTAATGTCAGTAGGATATTATAATGCTGCTACAGCTGTTATACATTCTTGCCCTTCGTGTAGCCTCTACCAGTGAGCAATTCCCAAGACCTGACAACAAAACTACATTATCTGTAACTTTATTTTACATTTTCCCCAACATTTATGCACTGCCAGTTAATGAAAGAGGAAAACTCACTACACTGCAGTGGTGTCAGATATTTGTTCCTCTCGTCAAAGACGTTTCAACTCCAGAACTGGCCAAGGAAAGCAAAAGTTTAAACAGCATTCATTGTTTCAAGAGCTTCAGTGCCTGAAGCATGTTGAGCTGGTTTTTACCAGTCCTAAGAATGTCCCACGTTCTCGTTGTTAATCCATTAACATAATGGAACACACCACTTGCAAACATCACTGTCTGCAAAAGGAGGAAATATGAAAGCAAGGTTTCCTATCAGAAGTTTAGTGTTTTTCACAAAACCAAACCATTAATTTTAGAAAACCCACATTTATGACAACACACAACCTTCAATACGCATTCCTCATATTCCAGCATTTTCATTCATCATTCCTGCTTGTGAAATTTTTAGCCTGCAACATGAAATAGTCCCATGATGCACTAATCAATTTTTGGCTGTGGCCAAAAGCCTAGAAATAAATTCTTTCTGTAAAGTATCTTCTCTTAAATAGAAGTGATTACTCTTCCCCACACAAACTTCTCACAAGAGTAAAGAAATAGAAACATTTTAAAGATCTATTGGAAATTACAAATATCAAACTTTTTTGTTATGGACTAGTAAAGTACTAGTAGTTTGCTTCAAAATAAACCAAAACCAAATTTAAGGCATATTCCTTATAGGGGAAAAGTACTAAGACTATTAAGAATATGGAAAGCAACTCATTTGTATATTTAATAGCTTATCATTCTTTTCTTAGTATCCTCCTTTGAAAAATACCCTTGTAGGTATGTAAAATTTATTTCCAAAATCTAATCAAAATCCTATGAAAATGAAATAAAGTCTTCCATTAACTTAGATGAATACCAACTCAGACTCTGAACCATGAGCACAAATACCTGCAAACCAAGTAATTACATATTTGTTGTACTGCATTTTAGCCTTTGAACACTGATAATCTGCTAAACATGGAGTACTACAGTTCTTTTCCTCAGAGTTGTCTTCTACTGTGTTAACTTCATAATGTTTGTTCTCCCCTTTGTGACAGTGTTTATGAAATGATATATTTTGATTTATATTGAGTTCCATTTCCTCTTAAGCTTGTTACAAGCTTCATTCAATTAACTGCATAGCTAGCTCCCTAAAAATAATCACATGTTTACTTTTGAGATGTCACCTTTAAGAATTTAAATTCATCTGACAGAGAAGAAAAGAGGTGGCTGCAGGTAAGGGCTCAAAATTAGGTTTTGTCTCTTTCAATCTCAGTAATTCAAATTATCCAGAAACTCACATGAGATGGGGGTCTGGGCACAACAGACTTTTGTCTGACCTTCATGCACAACTAACACTGAACAGATTGGCACTCCTGGGAAGGTTTATGCCTTCCTGGCAAAGGAACTACCAATAACATGAGGAAGAATTGATCACATGAAATAAAGGAAGATTAAGCATAAACTTTAAGATATTAACAAAAATAGTGTCTGCAAAACACCAGGTTAAGTTTAAAACACATGGCTTGGAACCATTGTGGTGACAGGTACAGGTGCCCTTACATTCACAAAGAATCATCCCTTTATTTATTTTTGGTTCCAGCATAAATCCTTCTCTACCTGTGCCCTACCCATAAACCAGGCTCACCTAAGCCTTCTTTTCTTTCACAAGTCACTGGTAGAACACACAGCTCCTGACTTCCTACTCTGAGGGTAAAACTATTCCTATCATGCCAATGCATGTCTCTAATGAACAGCACCTTACATGCCAGTTTTATGCAAAATCTGTTCCAATTCACACAAAAGGGACTTTGAATCGAGTCTTTGAACTCTAATCCCAGCATGGAATTGATGTGGGTGCAGAATAAATATCTTATATCCAGGAGCAGGCAACAAGAAACTCAAATGTCTAAAATTAGACAGCACTGAGGCTAATGAGGAGAACCCCTTCTGTTCAGGTGAGAAAGGAGTATCAGATTTGTTGTTTGCCAGTTTTCTGAAATTCAGGCAGGTTTCTAAAACTGAGCTATTGCTTCAATTTTCTTTTTATTTCTTTAAGAGAAGAATTTTACATTGTATCACAAAGGTTTTGAAAGGAACTTCTGTGAGCAACACAAGTCTGAATAGCATCCAGCTTCTGTCTAATTAGCTCAATGAAAAGCTGAAAGGCGAAATTTTGGTAGTCCAAATTTAACTTTCATTGTCTTCTAGGACAATAAAAAGTACTTTCTGAAGAATTCGTATTTTTGTTTCACTGTTCTACCTATCCATTTAAATATTTCATATTTGCTAGCCACACTTCCACAGGATTTATCCCACCAAATTTCAGAAATGGCAAGTAGGCTGTAGCTTTCCAGCAGCACCTGCTTTTTCTTGGCCCTTCAGCTGAGCTGTTGTCCGTGTCACCCTCACATTACACCCCCTGACTCCTCTGAGGGATGTCACCTGCTTCCCTGGTGAGCCCTATTACCCGAGGAGCCCCTGGCTCACCTCTGTAAGACTTCCAGTGTGCTGCAGTGTAGTCAGCACATCTCAGAGCCATGGATTAATACACTGGGCCCACCTATTTCTTCCAAGGTTTCTGCCTGCAACTGGAAGGAAAACATAACCTGTGCTCCAGATTCCCTCCCCTGTCCCAAGGCCCTGAAGTCTCTTTTGATCACCTCTGGACTGTGCGTTGTGGTTTCATCACCACCCACAAGGACGGGCAGGGACAGGCAGTAATCCAAGGGCTGCACCAGGTCACGAAGTTTCCTGGTGATGTCCCTAACCTGGGCCAAGGGAAGCAGCAGCATCCCCTGGGAGGGTCTGGCATTTGGACCCTCTGTTCCCCTCAGAAGGGAGTAGCCTGCAAGTGTAACCCATGTTTTCACTCTCTGGAGGTGGTCATGACACAGGGTTTGGTCTTTCTGCCCATGGCAACCCCTCTGGCTTGGGTGGGTCATCACCCCATCGAGCATTGACTGGCCTTGTACATTCAGAGCCTCTAACCTGTTGTACTGAGGCATCTGGGCAAGCGAGGTGGGCAAGGAGGGGGTGTTACTCCATTCACTCATTTCCCTTAAGCTGCCATTTTCTGCCTAGCAGGGCAAGGACACACAACTCCTTCGATCTTACTTTTTTTTCCTGGTGCCTGTTCCTGTCTCAGGTAGGGCAGAGCATGGTTCCTCCAGTCTCTCTTTCTCAGACTCCCCAGTGCTCCTTAACCTTTTGAGTTCCTCCCACAGCTCTGCTCCTCAGTTTGGGCTGAGCACATCACCCACCTCGTCACCCCTCACACAGCTCTTCTCACCACACCAATGAAGGCTCTGGCACGTCCTTTGTCTGCCTCTTCTGGGAGCTCTGCCAGGGCTGCTACAATTGTCCTGGTCGGTGCAGAGGACACAGCTCTGCTGAGGGGACACCACAGCCCAGAAGGTCAGTGTGGAGGACACGGACACAGCTCTGTGCTGGGTCCCCACAGCCCGTTTTGTTCCCTCAGGGTGCTGGTGGCCCTGAGCCCTCGCGAGAGCTGCCGCCCTGAGGGGAGTCGCACACTCGGGTCTCACCTTCCCTGTCAAACATCTTTCAGTACTTTATTTATTTATTTAGTATCAGCTACCTCGCCCTAAGAAGGCCCAGCAGGAAGAGGTGTTAGCATTCATGTCGCGATTCAAGCTGTTTAATTGCCAGCTAGATACAGATGCAGCCCGAGTCATGTTCTGTGGAAGGACAGCTCAGATGATTAAACCCGGAGCCGTTTCACAGTCATTTCACAGCTCCCTCGGCTAGGCCGCGATTTTTTATGCCTTTCAGAGTACTTGGAGAAGGAATTTAATGACATTGCCATACTTAGAGTGAAAAGGGCACGGTAATTAGTTCAAAGCATGAAAGGAATTGGATTTTATAATGTCAAATTTTTGACTGCATAGTGCATAATGCATAAAAAAAAGGAAATTATAACTCTCTGTTCGACAAAACCAAAAAACGATTGTTGGAGCTGATGTGAAAACTTCCCCTTGAGTTTCTGCAGAGTAAGACAGGAGTGAAAATGCCTGGGCTACAACACAAACGTGCCCTGTTGCCAAGCCCTGGGCCCTGGTTGAGGTGCCAGGACAGAGGCCCCTGGGCCATGAGGGCAGAGCAGGGCCAGGCACAGCCCAGCAAGGGCCCTGGTTGAGGTGCCAGGACAGAGGCCCCCGGGCCATGAGGGCAGAGCAGGGCCAGGCACAGCCCAGCAAGGACTCCTGTGGCACATCAGGGCCCTTGGGCCACTCTGCTGGCAAAGCAACACAGATCCCAGGGCAGAATGAATCCGCTGTAGAAATACACACTGTGGAACCTTCCCTTGGGGAAAGTAAAGTCCTAGCTTATACTAAATCTGTGTTTGAATGACCAACATTACTCAGGGTGTAAGCAATCCAATGCAATATGCAATTACTGCGAACAAATAACCAATTTTGGCCTTCTGTGTACATGATTGATTTAGATATTTAGTTGCATATGTAAACATATTTTACATACGTTTAGTTTATTGTGTAATAAAACCTCATTCATAATACAATTAACTAAGCACTTCAGAAGTAGGAGAATGATGCCCAGCTCTTATGCAGCAGTTATCTGAACCTCAGGCTTTCAGGAATGATGTGCTAATGCCTTTTAAGGAAAAAAAGAGAAATCTAGAGTGGTGAATCAATTTTAGGTTCTTTATTCGTTGAGTTCAGAGCTTTTTTAAACCCCACCCAACGGTGCTAATATCTAAAACATTTTTTAGAGAGGCTCAAGATTCTGTGTAAATAACTGTTTCCAACAGCTAAAAAAATAAAACTCCGTGAGTACCAAGAACAAGCCAGGAAGGAGACATGTAATCACATAAAAAAAGGAGAGGTCTTACCACTAGGAAGTGTCAGTTAGAGCAAGCAACAGGGATAGCAAAACTAATCTACCAATTCTACAAGTCACCCTTTACTCTTTATATCGTTCATCACCTCCATCATTCACACACAAAATAAGTAAAAGTAATAATAACTCTTTTGGTTCCTCATAGAAGAATTTAACAGAACTAATTGTTGTTGTAAAGTTCTGTAGAAATTATTTCTAAAAGAAACTTTACATAAAGCAAGATATTACTCATGTTAGAGCACACACATAAAATCAACTACTGCTACATCTTTTTTAGGTCATTTTGTTGGTCATGAATTCTCGTAATATTTGATGTTCTGCATATTATCTAAGGAGCCCTAACTCTTAATATGCATCAAGCTACTTTTTCAGATTCTCACAAATTATAGTTTGTTTTGGGGTGTGTATTTTTCTTTTAGAGAGGGGAGGGGAGAGGAGAGCATAATGCATTTTGCAGTGACCTATGATGAACAGCAATATTTTTGCAGCTGCTAACCTCCTCCACCTCTCTTTTCATATGTCTTCAATTTCTTAAAGGAAATTGTGAAGTCTTAAGGATTTTGAGGTACACCAAAGCTCTTCCATGGACTCAGATACTCTTCATCTAATTTATGAGCTTTTGTCTCAATTATACATACAAACCAGGTAAGTGCAAATTCAACTGATTAACTGCTGAAGTATAAACCTGACTAACATCAACCAGAATTAACTGCTAATGCAAGTTGAGCAACAGGCAAATTATAGAGAAAAGAGCCCCCCTTTCACTTCCTTCAGAGAAGGAAGAATCAACATTCCACAAAAGCCCTGCTTTTAGGAAACAGTTTTTATCACAGTCAGAGAAGCAGTAGGGAGCGAGGGGAGAAATGATGATCAGGCTAAACAATTATCTCAGAATTCAGGCTTCAGCCTGGAGCAGATGATGTCAGAACTGTGTGCCTGTATGGAAAATAAACTGAAGAATCAGATGGGTCTACTCACAGACAGAGAACCTTTCCAATGGGAGACCAGCTGCAACACACGTAATACAATCACGACTCTGCATCTGTGCTTCCTGCTGCTAGAGGATTAACTGAAGGTGGGAAACAAAAGGACACTGACATACTACACAGATCCCTTTCTATCCAAATTGACACTGACCAAAACATGCTGTGGGGCAGTAGAGACTGCATTGTGCTAAGGAAAAATTGGTTTTCAGTGAGCTGATGTACAATGAACAGGACTGAGAAATGATGACCTTGTTCTGAGTGACAGCACTGGCTTAGGGGATCAGATGGTAAGAGGGCTACAGAAAAAACACTCACTTAAACATGGGAATTCAGGCCTCAGAAAAGTTCTATGACAGGCTGACTAAGCATTTGTAAAGAATGAATCCCTTGGCTCCAGAGCAGTGCAGAAAATGCTCCTCTGCCCTGTAGAAATCTGGGATTTAACTTTCTTTTTAACTTCAAAAAGGAAAAAAGGAGAAGCAGACAGACAGACCAAAAGGAGTCCAGAGTTGAAGGCTGGCCAGTTGGCAGCTCTTGAGTCACAGGCAGTTTGCAAGACATTCACGTCTCATCCCCTTGCAGTGCTGACCAAGGGATGCAGCAAAGCCCTGCTGACAGAGGGACTGAGAAGAATTCAAATCACCCAGCAAGTAAGCCAAGTAAGTACTGAAACCAACAGCAGCAGGATCAACCATTACCTGGAAACCAGAAGCAATATTAAAACAAAAAATGAGAAACCTTTGAGATCTTCTTTCTATAAATTCTTCTTTTGTCTCCAAATAATGTGATGCAAAATCCTGTGGCTCTGTTTTATACCTGAGTTTTGGTAGGTGGTCCTCAAGTCAGACATAAGTCATCTGCACCCCAAAGATCTGTCACTTTAATTGAGGATATGGAAAAGCAATATTCAAACCTAGCAGAGAAAGAAACTGAACCTAAGGGCTCTTGCATGTAGGAGAACAAGGAAGAAGGTTGCTCACTGGGCTAGAGGCTTATTGGGCTCTAGTCAAAGACAAATTGGATTTATCAGCAAAGTATTTCTTCTAGATTAGAGATTAAATAAGTAGGGCTGCAACAAGAAAGAAACTCTTCATCCATAAAAGCTGAAGGCTAGAAATGAAGCAAGAATTCCCTTGTTTTGAATTTTGTTGCATCCCTGGAATTTGAAATCTGCAGTTTTCCTCAGTTTGCTAGGCCTTGTGTGCTGCTTCTGTTTAGTATAGCTGGGTATGGAACCCTGTCATGACCCAGTGATTCATTACACTGAATATTTATGTATTATTACCCTCCTCACTTTTGATATGAAGAGCAACAGGTAAGAGCCAACATCTTGGCTGGTTTCCTAATACTGACACGGAAGGAATGCACAAGCCTGCTGCTTGGGAATTTGAAACTGGAGCCACAGGAACCAACCCAGCTTCGTGATTTCACCTGCAGTGCAAACACCTTGGATTATCCTCATCTCTTCAGAAACACTTGAAAGAGTGTACTGACGTAGTGCACATCTTAGGTAAACTATAATTACAAAAAGAGGCAGAAGGAATATGGTGCTAGGGTAGAAGAAGCAGGCAATGGGAAAATCAGGACCCAAAGGGCTGTTGTGGGGAGTTGGCTTTTGGGGAGCACAGGCAGGAGGGTATAAAGGAAAGGGAGCCATGGAATGAACTGCTCACACATACACATTACACCTACTCTGCTCCTGAACTGCAAGGACATTTTTCATATATGAAACAGGAAATAATGTATTTGGCTATTCCAGTGAAATATCTGATCGTTCAGTTGAAAAGTAGCACACCTATAATAGGAACCATAACATCACATGAACCAAGAATAGCATAAATAGTGAAGAAAAGATTTACTAATTCCAGTGACTAGTATTTCTGCTGTGTGCTCCAGAGTTCCCAGTCAATGCAGAAATTTTGCTGAGGTGGAGGGTCTTTGAATTACTACTGATAGTACAACAAGCATGTGAAAAAAAAAGCCCTGATAAAGGCAATGATGTACCTTTGGTTCACAGATGGAAGCAATACAAAACCACCTCGGGACTAAGCCTTGCCAAGCTCTGAAGCACTGCTGCATTAAGAGGCAAATGCTAAAGTATTGGCATATGTCCTCAATGGAAATTGCAGAAAGAATGTATATATAACTTATATATATATATGTATAAAAACTGCTGAGAAATATTCCTCTGTTGAACAATGGAAATATTTAAAGTGGAATCCTCTGGGGGGTGGTGTTCTAAACTTAATTAAAAATATATTTATTATTATCAGTTTGGTTAATAAGATTCGAGGGTAGTTATAAAATCTGCTTGTGACACGCACTTTAGAGCTCCTGCAAACGTTTCAGAGGACAAGATGAGAATTCAAAATGATCTCGACAGGTTGGAGAGAATGTAAACTCAACAAAGTTAAATTCAATAAAGGTAAGTGTAAAATGCTCTACACTTAGGAAGGACAAAAGAAATGCACAAAAGCAAAATGGGGACCATCTGGCAAGGCAGCAGTTCAGCAGAAAAACATCTAAAGCTTATGGTGAATTAATAACATGATACTCAAATAGAAAAGACTAATCTCTTTCTGGGAGGCATTGCTACAGGAATTATATGTAAGACATAGGTGCAATATATTGCACTTGTCTGAGAAATTAGCATTGTGTTTCCAGGTTGGGGAACCAGGTGAGACAGAAGTAGAAGAATTGGAGAGATTCTGAAAGAGCAGGACTAGCAAGAGACACAAAACTGGCAGAGAAAATAAATATGGGACTGTCTAGAATGTCCTGTAACACAGAACATCCAGAGTTATGTAAAAGGTGCCCCTGCAAAAGAGGTTTCACAATACAAATGAATCTTATTTAGGGACAGAGAATTAGGACATCTTTATCCAGACTGATAGAGGAATAATCAGCCATGCATATAAAAGGTTACTAACTTTAACTTAACACAAAAACTAATTGAACTTCAGGAAAAGGCAGTCAATGTTTCCCCTCATAAAAGTATAAAAATAAAACTGTCCATAAAGAAGGAACAACTCCTACACTTTGTAAAGACTCTAGTACATACTGCAATATTTTCAGAGGGGAGGCAATTTAATAGAAGAGAGCGAGGTACCCCTAATTGCTAATAATCAAAAAGAGTGGGACTGTTCATATTTGAGATGATCCCAAGGTTACTGTTATCCAAAACTTCCTGACATGTTCTTTCCTTGTCGTAATTTAGAGAATGGCTTTGCCCCCCTTTCTGTGGTCAGCACGTCTTCAGTCTCGGTGAAATCAGCCTCCAGCTTTTCCTTGTGTTGGCTTTTGAACAGGCAAGGGAGAGAAGGAGCTGAAGGCTCTGTGGGCATTGGCACGGGGCTGCAGTTCCCCTTGCAGGGCCACTCCCTGCTGCAGAGCCACTGCCAGTGCAAGAACTGCAGCCCCTAAACCTCCTTGGTGAGCCTGCCTAGTTGTGAAGGAAACCTGCAGATACAGGAGGATCCATCAAATCCTTTTAAATAAACATGGAATGCCAGGCTTAGCTGAGTATACTGTTATGCCAGCAGGCTTCTTAAACCCAAAGATAACATTTAACATTCTGCAAGATTATATAAGCCAATATTCTGGCCACTTATGTTACTATCATTTGGTCAGTTTAATCTTTTTTTTTTTTTTTTAAATCCTAGACAAACTAGTCTATTTTCACAAGCAAACCAGTTACATTAACTGGTGTTAGGCACTAAGCTATCTTTTTATTTCATTCCATTCCTGCTTTGACCATTTCAGGGACCTCATCAGGCGAAGCAGAGCCCACTAACTCACTGAAACTTCTCAGTTTGTAATGCTGACCAGCTCTGAAATCAAAACTCTTTCTAGTTAGCACAGACCTGGGGAAAAAGGGATTTGTGTATGCTGATGCACATTTTTTGAGAGCAGAAAAATAGGTTATTGCTGCTCCACTGCAAGTGGATTATTAATCTTCCTGTGAATTTACAATACTCAAACATTGACCAAGGAAATATTGGAGATATTTATGAGTATAATTCCAGAGAAAAACGTGCTCTGTTTCATTGCTGGGATCCAGAATATACTCCTTCACAATGATTCAGCATTAGAAAGAAGTTCTTTGTATCTTCCTTTCTCCCTGTGACACATCAGCCCATTTCCATATGGTGTGTCTCATTATATGGGTTCTAATTTTCCACTGTCTTCTAGTGCACTGTTGACACTGAATGATGATACAACAAAAATATTACTTTCTTTGGATCATACTTGAGAGGCAGATGCTGCTTTGCTGCAAATCAGCACATCATCAACAATAAATTATCCTACTACTATCTGTACTATAAGGGGGTAGGAAGGGGTGGAATTATTAAGAATCAATCAAAACCTCTGCTTGAGACCTTTATCCCCACTTCTCATTCTGTCCATTGGGAAAATAACCTACTAAAAGCTAAAGGGATTCTCTCAGGTGACAAGAATGGACTTCACTCTTTCAATTTTATCTTCAATAATAAAGATTTAAATTAACTTTGGAGTGTACAAATATTATTCCTGTGATCCTCTGGGAGCAGCACACACAATATCCCCTGAAAACTGCACTCCCAGAATTCAAAATTTAATTCACAGCACAATGGCTCCTTCAGGACAAAATGCCAGACTCCTGAAAGCCTTAGCACTCTCTCTGCTCTGCTGCTGAAGGATTGCTATTCCTGGAAGATTTCAGCTCTGTAAGATAAGTGTTAATACATTCTTTCTGCAGGTCTCCGGGGCCTGAAGTTTGAATTTAATGTGAACTGAATAAAATCATTTGCTTTTAATCAGCATGGTCCATGAACCGTGGTTTGAGGCCAATATGTGACTCTAAGGTAAATGAGTTTAGCTCCAACTCCCTAATCCCCAGATAAGATCATAAAATCACCACACATCACTCAGCACTGTTTAGCAGAAAATGCCTGCCTCTGTAGTAATAACAAAACCCCTGAATTATAGTTGCTGGCGTCTCAAAGGTGATGGCTCTCGCAGGTTCAGGTGAAGTACGTGATTCTGAGTGGGGAGGATGGAGCGCTGCCAACACAGCACACTAACCTCCATTTCACACTGATATTTGATTTCTGGAAATCTACTTAAAAAATAAACCATCCTCTTGCCCACTCCTTCTCTTTTAAAGACCACAATACGCATCCTTTTATATGTAATAATTCTGAGTTAAAACTCATGCTCTGCCATAGGTAAAATTCCAGAATCAACGTGGGAGTAACTCCTGCTGTGGATTGTTGTAATAACAAAGTTATGATTTATTCCGTTTATTCACATTCAATGTGGAAACTCAAAAGCAGAGACAGTTGATGAAACAATTAGTGTTTTCTATAAAATTCATAAAATCACATATGCTAGAGAAGGAAAAGACTCAAATCTGCAACAGCCAAGTGTCCCTGTTCATATGAATTCACTGTTATTTCAAATATTGATGCCACCTCTCTTGATTACTTGCCACTAATTTGACTAAATAGAAAATTTAGTAGCAAGAACTTCTATCAAGCAACTAAGGGCAAATCAATAGCAAGAATTTCACTAAAATAGACAAGTATATCTAAATTTCACCTCCCCAGCATGCAGAGATACTGCACATCTAACAGCATAAACCTGGCATGGAGCAGAAACAACCAATGCAACAAACCCTCCTGTTTAATAGGTAGAACCTCACCAAATGGAACACTTCTGTCAATCTAATGGAATAGTCTTGCATGAGAAATATCCCTGAGACAAAATGAGTAGGGAAAAATACTCTGAACACACTATTTCTTACAATTTCTTCACAAAAGCCTGTGAGATCCTTTAAGATTCTTCACACAGTAAAGGATGAACTCAGCAGAAGACTCTCAATGTTTTTCTCTGAAGCAAGTTTCAGTATTTTTCATTTTATCATGTTATCTTTTCAAGAGCCTTTTCTTCAAGGTGAATAGACTATGAAACAAACACAGTTAATAGCGGGATAAGAGTTTAAAGAACAGCAAATAGACATAAGCCAATAAAT